TTGAAAAAAAAAAAAAAAAAAAAACAGAAACAGAAATATATTCAATGGAAACATCAGAACTTCTGCTAGAAATTTCAATGGAAATTCCCGACAACAATTACCCGTTAGAAAAATTGTTGTGAAAATCATCATCTCCCAACCAAAATTCCATAGCAAATTAATTATGATGTAAGTGTTGATTTAATTTTCCAATCCAAGAATAGTTATAGAAATGGATTATCCACCAAATATTTTCCTTTACTTTTTTCCATGTGAGTGTGTATTGTCCATGCGAATCCTCCACAGTACGCAAAGTCAAAATTCTTAAAGAGTTCTAAATTCGTCAAAATTAAACCCTAAAATTGGCACAAATAAATCTCCAATAGTAAATTCATGAGTTTTATTACTTTATTTACATCTATGCCTCTACCAGATTGACTGAAATAGCTATTAACAAACATTGTACAATTTTTCATAGAACTAGAGCAAGGACTTCCTCTTATTGGCATCAAACACTAATAATACATATCCTCTAAAAATTTGAGAATCACCTTTTTATTGTAATACTTAGCCAGCACTCTTTAACACGTTTACAGAACATTCTCAACAGTGTGACGAAGCTCTCTCACCAATTCGTTCATCGTCAAGCTGAATTCTTTCCCCATCTAAAATAGAAAAAATTAAAAATAAAAATAAAATAACAAAGCGCGCAAAATCTCATGAAAAATGTATGTGTACAAATATTATGCAAATTTACAATGTTTTATTAACAGAATAATTTCAATTTTAATCTTTTTACTTGTTCAAAGTCCATTTTTGATACACTAACTTATTCCTTATCAAAAATAATAAGTTATATTGCAATTTGTATTATTTTTGGGACATTACTCATTAAAAACAATACATTATGTTGCAATTTGTATTGTTTTTAGGACATTAATCCCAAAAATTAATGAATCATTTTCAGGATAATATCCCAATATTGATACAAATTGCAACATAACGTGCTATTATTGATGAGGGGAAAGTTAATATACCAAAAAATAACTTTAGACAAGTAAACAGACCAAAATTGAATTTTTGCCTTTTATTACCTCTGTACAGATTGTTATATCAAGTGCCAAGCTTCCGAATGTGGTGACATTGGTGCTGACAATGGCGAGGTTGAGATTCTCTAGTTGGCTAATTAAATTTGCCAAAATACCCTTACGCTTCTCACAGTGGATTCTAATAAGAATTTGGGTGCCACAAACTCGGGCTTCGATTTCGGGCAATGCCAGCTCATTCGGGCCCGGGCTGTCAGAATTATCATCCTCGGCATTGGCCCGTGATTTGCGGACGAGCACAACGGATTCCATCATCTTCTTTGTGGTTTTCTCTTCTAGAATTTGCACTCTTTCTTGGAGGTGTTTTAAGTACTTGATTGCATCACCAAGGACTGATGTTTTATCCATCTGAAAATATAAATAGAAATTATCTAAACTGAATAAAAAAGAACAATTTCAAATGTTTTCCGTGATCAAAAGGTTTTCAATACTATTTGGTTTAATTGGTGGACATGCTAGATTCAAATTTTGAACTTAGCCTGTTTACTAGTTTTTTAGGAATTTTATATGGTTTTTGAAGTAAATTTTGCTTAATTTTATTCGAAATGGTTATGGTTGGGTGAAAATATGTTATGCTAGTTAAGGAATATTTTATGATGGGGCAATTATTGGTTGGTACACAAAAACAAAAGTCTTAGACCTTTAGACCACAAGGCTTAAGAAAGTAAAATATATAGTTTGTTTTAACCATTTTAACAGCCCCTCATTATATTGGTTGTTAGAGAATCAAGTAATAAGAATAAGAAAAAAGTTCAGGCCCTACTACACGTTATTCACAATATCGACTAAAATTTAATAATTTTAATGTTTAGTTATAGATTTAAAATATATTAATTATATTTTATTATTACTTTTTTATTTATATACTTATTATACTTTATAAATATTATGTACTATACTCTCTCCTATTTTTATTATTTGTCAATCTGGCTTAATGGATCATTGATTAAATAAATGTCGTTTGGCTATTTTGTTCATATTTTTCTATTTTTAACATCCATCTAATACACAGTGTCTCTTCATATCTCATCTCAATGGTTTCCCATAACATCCATTAATAGGGTTAATATTGGCAAGAAAAAAAAATTTAATTAGCGTGTTGCTTCTCAGAACGACAAATAAATATAGGAGGGAATATTCAATATGTATAAGTTACTCCATCAACTAATTTTGATATTTATGTATTTTAAATTATATAGTATATAACTAACGAAATTTTATGTATAATTTTTTTTATATAAATTTATATATAATATTTAAATATGTTAATAAATTAAATATCGATTTAACCACTGGTCCAACCACTGAACCATTTAACCAGTAGCTTATCCGATTCGATGACCGATTCAGTTTTCAATACCTTGATAAAATATAGAAAAATCGTGATAATGCCAAAAATCGAAACTGTGCACTTTAGTGCGGTTCGATGCGGTTTTTAAATGTAAAAAATTTCGATTTTTTTTTTCTACATTGTGGTGCAGTTCAGNAGTTCATTTATTTCTGAAAAATACTGGTTCCCTGTTTCAATAAAGATTAACATAGAAACAGCAGATATTGTAACTGGTTAAGGTTAGTTAAGCGGGTCATTTTTTTCCCGAAACGATATAAATATTATATAAAAGCGCACAAATGTATAAAAGTACAGTAACTAGCTGAATACAACAGCCAACGACTGAATAAACTGAATATTATATAAGCGGGTCATTTTCACTCGCATCATATCATATGTTTATTAATAAAAATATATATTCAAAAATAAAAATAATTTTATACTAATATTTTTTTTTCTAAAGATACTGACGTTGAAACTACACAATCACAAAACAGAGATTAAGTAATCAAAATGCAATCACAAAAGCTTTTCATTAATTGTTAGAAGCAGTAGTTCATATTATTACCTTCTTCAGCCCCGGCACAATAGTGGAAAGAGTTAGAAACCTCTGGCTCAGCTGCTCACGCCTCTTTCTCTCCGCAACAATATGGTCATACGTTTGCGGGCCCTTACCGGCCCGGCCGGTACGTCTCTTGGCATTATCGGCCCGTTTGGATGGCTCTTCGGGCTGCTTCTCAGTTTCAGGTCCGATATTGGCAGCCTCCTCATCTGCTGCATCTGTGGGCCCAACAGCGGGCCCATGACTCTTGGGAGATAGATTAGCGGCCCCAAAGTTGAGAATGATGGGAGTAGAAGAGGGGCGGTGGTCTTGGGCCGTTGCTGATGAGAAGCCCGAAAAGCCGTTGGGCTTCTGCAGCTTTCGCGGTGGCCGCTCGGAGTTATTGTTTGTGTCGGTGGGTAAACTAGAGAGGGATGTGATTGAGTTTGCGCTGGGTATGTTGACCAGAGTTGACGAGGTGGATGAGTCTTTTGGGTCGGTGGAAAGAGAAGGTGGGCTGTCCAAGTCCGGCCCAAGCATCGCGGCCCATTCATCGTCGAATGTGTCCATGAAGTCCAAATCGTCTGTGAAGATTGGGTCGTCCAGGCCCTGTAATTAATTATTCATACCATATGCTTATTCTTCATTCTAATTAAGTGCATGTTAAAATGGATATTAACTAATTGTTAAGTTATAGTTGAAATTAAACACAGTTTATGATTTTTTATTTTTTTATTTTTTATTTTTAATTTCTGGCAATGCTTTGTGTGTTAGTTAAACGAGNATCTGAAAAAAAAAAAAAACAAAAAGGTGCATGAATAATGATGAATTAACGTTTGTGTACCCACTTGAAGTGGGCATTAATAGGAAACAAAAACATGATGAGTTGCATATGAAATCCAACGAATTTTCCAAGGGGACAACATTGATGAATGGCAAAATTAATTACATGGTACAACACTTCTCCTAATGATTGATTACTAATAAGGGGACCAGTTCTGTAATTAATGTAGTAATGTTTTTGTTTTCAGCTTTATGTTGTCTTCAACTTGCATGTGCACGCGTGTGTACAAACAACACGTAAAAGATGCAGAAATAATTAAGATTGAATTAATCCAAGGAAATTTGCTGTATTCCAATTGTCTACATGTAGAATATTTTATCATTAAAATAGTTGTATGTGCGCATAACATCAACCAAAAATAAAAAAAATAAAAAAAAAACATTTGAAAGCGGAGTGCAAAATTTTGCTGGAAATTATAAATAATTTAGAAGATTTACCATTTCAGAGAGCCATGAAATTGCTGATGAATCCTGCATATCCATATTGAAATAATTCCCCAAAGATGACTGAATCTGATAAACAAATTAATTGGTTAATATAATCAGGATACATACTATTAGTCAAGCGCGCAAGAGGCTCATGGATACTTGAGATGGAACGCGTTAACATTTGTCTACAGAATCTGGAAAATGAAAAATTGAATAATTACCAAACAGAAAAAGGAAAGTGAACTGATTGGAGAAAATTGTAGAGCTACAAGTGCGTGAGGTAGTGTTGGGTGAAGCTAAGCCAACAGGCAAATTGTAATGTTATATAAGGGAGAGGTGCGTGGGTCTGTCTTTGATGGATGCAATGTTGCATTATTGACGGAAATTTAAATGTTGCGTGGGTCGTCTTGGATATAAAATTTTTTGGATTTGATTGGATTTTTTTGTTTGGTTTGATTAATTTTGAAAAATGTGGTATGGTTAGTTGTTAGTGGGTATATTAAAATAATATTTAAAATAAAATAATTAAATTTGATTTGATGTAAAAGTAGTAGAGAATAATTTGAAGTGATGGTTAGTTAAAATTATGTGAGTCGATTGATAGTGAATTAAAGTTGATGTGATGTGTAAGAATGATTAGTTGATATTATTTAATTATATTGATAATATTGATGATATTGCGGTTGAGTTAAAGTTGGGTTAAAAAAGTAGTTAAGTTAAAATTGTTTGGGTTTTTTTGAGTAGATTTGCATCCAAACATCCTCATGTTTTGATTTTACACTAAAGCTAGTCGAACGGTTAGATTTTCTTACTTTTTCAAATACTAGTAAAGTGCACATGATACATAATTTATATTTTAATATGATTTTAGATTATATTTTATTTTATATTTTATGGTCTATTCAATTTTGTGCATTACTAGTTTCATTAATCAAACAGAAGAAGTACATTACATACTTAACTGTGTCAAATATATCGAACGTTGAAATACAATTTCGAATATAACATATTTAAAAATTAGGGCGAAAATGAGATTGCATGAAAATTTTGGTTTGACAAACCTTCATTACCTAACTTATTAGTCTTGTTTATTCGAA